GCCCCCATGTCACCCACGTTGCTCATGCCACGCCCATGTCACCCTTACTACCCATGTCGTTTGATTCTTTGCCCACGTAGATGCACGCCTCCGTATGTAGTGTTAGTGTCGTTAGTTTTGATCTGTACGTTGTAGTATTGCGAATATAATTTTCTTTTCTTCTCCTTCTCAATTGAGTGATCTATTGAGTGGATTGTAGTCACTATTTAGTGCTCTTGAGATCTAAAGTGCATCTATCTGCAGCTAGTTGAGTGCATATTAGTGCAAAGTCTTTGCAAATGCTCAGCAAACACCCTTTATAAGTGGGTGAGTACACTAATTTGCCCTAACATGCTAATTCGCGCTAATTGCGCTGATTTGCTGCATACCAGCACTAATTATAGCAAATTTGCAAGTGAGGGTTTTCCTGATGAAAAGGTGTTTTTAACGGTAGCGCCCGATAGCACGCGACTCTGCCAGATCGGGACAGGCCGTCTATTGTCTGCGCGACAAATGATGATGGCAGAACGGTAGCAGTTGATATTCATTCGTCTTCGATGTGACGTTTGATCATATTTCGTGGCCGCATACAGGTTATGATGGATCGACTACAGGCACTAGTAGCTTAGACGGAAAGCTATAGTCGATGATATGATAATGATAGTAGACGATCATGTGCCCCTCCAAGGGTGATTCATGGCGCGCGGGGTGCATGGTAAGTTCGTAATGAGCCATACGGTCGGTTCGCGAGTGCGCGAACAGTGCGCGCGGCAGAGAACGCGGTGCGCGCGAGGATGCGCGGGTCAGCGCGGGCGCCTGTACCGCTTACGGATGGAGTCCGCCGCAGTCCGGCGACGGCGAGCCTCACCACCTCCCCTTCTCCCATCCGGGGCCTCTGTTCCCCAAATTTGTTCTTGACATCTCTTCTGATTTCTCGCTGTTCTGCGGAACCTGGTCTTTCCATGTGTATCCTCTTCATCAGAATGTTTGCTTCTCTGGGACACAACTGGGACATGATTTATTCGACTGCGGACATCTCGTGTCCTTGCTCACCAATTTAGCATTGTCTCGGCCTTTCACGTTCCGTCTCATGTTTACAATGGACTTAAGGCGTGCTTCTCTGTACATTAGGTGCGCATTTCATCTCCCCCTCGCGTGTATTGAAGCGACCCTGTTCCCAAACAGCGAGACGGTCAGTGAGTAGTTCATCGCAGCGCCCGGTCGTTTGGGCACCACAGCCCTGCTCGTCCGACGCCCGGCGTGTTGTCCATACTCGCGGCGCCGACGCACCTGGGTATTCCAAGGTACACTGGTGCACTCGGTGGCAGTGCTGTAGCCCGTCGGTAACGCCCATACGAGGTGCCCGCGTTGCCGTCGGTAACGGCCATACGAGCTCGTACGAGCTCCGGTCGTGTAGCCCGTCGGTAACGGTCGTACGAGCTCCGGTAGTGTAGCTGTCGGTAACGGTCGTACGAGCGGTGGTGGAGAAGTAATATACAATGCCAAATGTATCATTCTGGCTGTCGTTTGCGTGCTTTGAGGTCCTCTAGTGTGCTACATACGCGCAAGAACATCCCGCAGCCCCAGGGAAGCCAATACCGGGCTGATACAGCAGGGGACGCCGGCTCCGGTAGTGGCACGTCCCACTGCGTACATTGTTCCCTACTGCACCGTACGTTTCGGTAATGCGTTCGCTACGTTCCCCTGGGTCATACGAGCTCGGAACACTGGTTTTTATCCCCGTGCGTGCTGTGGTTGGCCCGGGGCATTGAAAACACTGCCCAGACTCGTACGAGCCTGTAGCCGTCTGTCACGGTCGTACGAGGCACCTCCGGTGTGCACCCGGAATATTGCGGTAATGGATTCGGCAGATGCGCGTTACTGTACCGAACGCAGCGCACTCAATTTCGTTGCGATGCGTGCCATGGTTGGCCTGGGGTAACAAAAACACTGCCCAGGCTCGTACGAGCCTGTAGCCGTCTGTCACGGTCGTACGAGGCACCGCCGGTGTGCACCCGGAATATTGCGGTAACGGATTCGGCATATGCGCGCGAGTGTACTGAACGTAACGCATCAAATTCCATTGCCGTGCATATCGTGGTTACAGAGGGAGGGTCGGAACAGTGCTCAGGCTCGTACGAGCCTGTACCCTGTCTCAGACGGTCGTACGAGTACCTCCGGGAGAGCGGACACCCGGAAATCTCGGCAATGCATGGCGTGCATTGCCAAAGGTTACCGGAACACGGTTCACTTTGTTTCGTCGCTTTGCACACTGTAGTTAAGGCAGGAGAGTCGAAACAGTGTGCAGGCTCGTACGAGCCTGTACCCTGTGTGAGACGGTCGTACGAGTTGTTCCCTGGTGAACCTCGTTTTTTTTGTTGATGCTTTCGGTAGATGCGCACGGATAAGCTGAGAATAGCGAACTCAATTTCATTGCTGTACCTGGTGTAGTTAAGGAGGTATTGTCAAAACAGTGCGCAGACTCGTACGAGTCTGTACCCTGTCTGGAACGGTCGTACGAGGTGCTCCTGGTGGATATCAAAAATTTCCGGTAATGCATGCAATACATTGCCGTAGATCACTGGAACACAGCGCACTTTGTTTTATTGCTGTGCGTGGCATGGTTAAGGTGGCGGAATTGAAACACTGCAGAAGCTCGTACGAGCTTGTACTCCGTCTGTGACGGTCGTACGAGTTGTCCCCTGGTGAACATGGTTTTTTTCGGTAATGGGTTCGGTAGATGCACACAGTTGTGCCAAGAATAGCGCACTTGGTATTATTGCAGTATGTGCTCTGGTTGGGGCAGCGGAGTTCAAACAGTGTGAACACTTGTATGATCTTGTACCCTGTCTGTGACAGTCATACAAGGTGTCCTCCGGTAAAAACCCACTTTTTCCGGCAGTGTATTCATTACCGAGATTCCGGCAGCCCTTCCATTACCGAGATTCCGGCAGTCCCTCCATTACCGAGATTTCGACACCTGGTATCCAATACCGAGTGTTTGGTCATCTGTGTGTATTACCACTCTCACAACCGAGTTTTTGACCACCTGTGCATATTACCGCTCTCACTGCCGAGTTTTTGATTGCCTGTATTCATTACCGAGTTTTTTGCACCCATTGCCGAGTTTTTGATCACTGGTATCAATCAGCAGTCCTCATTACCGAGTTTTTGACTGCCTGAATCCTTCACCGAGTTTTTGGTCACCTCCAGACTTCAATGCCGAGTTTTTGACCACCGGTATCCATTGCTCGTCCTCATTACCGAGTTTTTGGACACCTCCAGCCTTCAATGCCGAGTTTTTATTACTGAGGTCTGTAATCCCGGTGCTCACTGCCAGTGCTCTCGCTGACCTCTGGCCTTCAATGCCGAGGTTTGAATACCGAGATCGGTAATCCCGGTGCTCACTGTTGGTCCTCCGGCCTTCAATACCGAGTTTTTGTTACCGAGGTCGGCAATTGTGCTACCAGTGGTGCTCACTGTCTCGAACAGCAAGCTCACTGTCAGACACAGTGAGCTCAACATGTTGCCCATCTCTGTATCTGTCCCTCATACTTTTGGAATGCACCTCTGCATCACATCTGAATGTATTGCAGCACCTTGCAGCATATTTACATGTGTGTGTCTGCCTGTACTGAACACCTTCTACCTGAGAAGTCACCCTTCACAGCAGCATGTGTAGATGGTATTTCACCTCGCTGTTTTTTGGATCCGGGAGGAGCATGCAAGAGCTGCGGGTGTGCAAATTTGGAGGGCATTAGCTGCAGAAGTGAGAGAACAGTGTGGTATGATATTTTAAAATGACATACCACACACAGACATGGGATGAGAGTGTATCACATCCCAGACACCTAGATATATTCACAGAGGATATTTTGAATGCAATGCAGAAGAGAGCGCACAGAAATCAGGATTTCCGGTGAAGATACAAGATATGTGTGGAAAGTGGAAGTTCTGAGAAAACACAACATGCATAAGTTCATGTGCAGACATGATATCAACACGCTGTTTGCTGCATCACAATTGGGTACTATTGGGGTGCTCAGATCGGAATTTTCAAGCTTATCGGTGATGAGATGTATATGGGGCATCATATGTCATTATTTCATGACATACAGTATCCTGACACAGCATATGCTCCGATTAGAATGCGAAAACATGGAATAGAACAGGGTAGAACATAGCTATCCAACGCAGAAGAGACCTTGAAAAACGGTTGAGAATCAGTGGAGATGTGCAAGGTGAGCCAGAAGTGTGGTTGGAGTGGAAGGCGAAGTCGGAGCACATTCAGCATAAACCACACTTCTGGCTCACCTTGCACATCTCCACTGATTCTCAACCGTTTTTCAAGGTCTCTTCTGCGTTGGATAGCTATGTTCTACCCTGTTCTATTCCATGTTTTCGCATTCTAATCGGAGCATATGCTGTGTCAGGATACTGTATGTCATGAAATAATGACATATGATGCCCCATATACATCTCATCACCGATAAGCTTGAAAATTCCGATCTGAGCACCCCAATAGTACCCAATTGTGATGCAGCAAACAGCGTGTTGATATCATGTCTGCACATGAACTTATGCATGTTGTGTTTTCTCAGAACTTCCACTTTCCACACATATCTTGTATCTTCACCGGAAATCCTGATTTCTGTGCGCTCTCTTCTGCATTGCATTCAAAATATCCTCTGTGAATATATCTAGGTGTCTGGGATGTGATACACTCTCATCCCATGTCTGTGTGTGGTATGTCATTTTAAAATATCATACCACACTGTTCTCTCACTTCTGCAGCTAATGCCCTCCAAATTTGCACACCCGCAGCTCTTGCATGCTCCTCCCGGATCCAAAAAACAGCGAGGTGAAATACCATCTACACATGCTGCTGTGAAGGGTGACTTCTCAGGTAGAAGGTGTTCAGTACAGGCAGACACACACATGTAAATATGCTGCAAGGTGCTGCAATACATTCAGATGTGATGCAGAGGTGCATTCCAAAAGTATGAGGGACAGATACAGAGATGGGCAACATGTTGAGCTCACTGTGTCTGACAGTGAGCTTGCTGTTCGAGACAGTGAGCACCACTGGTAGCACAATTGCCGACCTCGGTAACAAAAACTCGGTATTGAAGGCCGGAGGACCAACAGTGAGCACCGGGATTACCGATCTCGGTATTCAAACCTCGGCATTGAAGGCCAGAGGTCAGCGAGAGCACTGGCAGTGAGCACCGGGATTACAGACCTCAGTAATAAAAACTCGGCATTGAAGGCTGGAGGTGTCCAAAAACTCGGTAATGAGGACGAGCAATGGATACCGGTGGTCAAAAACTCGGCATTGAAGTCTGGAGGTGACCAAAAACTCGGTGAAGGATTCAGGCAGTCAAAAACTCGGTAATGAGGACTGCTGATTGATACCAGTGATCAAAAACTCGGCAATGGGTGCAAAAAACTCGGTAATGAATACAGGCAATCAAAAACTCGGCAGTGAGAGCGGTAATATGCACAGGTGGTCAAAAACTCGGTTGTGAGAGTGGTAATACACACAGATGACCAAACACTCGGTATTGGATACCAGGTGTCGAAATCTCGGTAATGGAGGGACTGCCGGAATCTCGGTAATGGAAGGGCTGCCGGAATCTCGGTAATGAATACACTGCCGGAAAAAGTGGGTTTTTACCGGAGGACACCTTGTATGACTGTCACAGACAGGGTACAAGATCATACAAGTGTTCACACTGTTTGAACTCCGCTGCCCCAACCAGAGCACATACTGCAATAATACCAAGTGCGCTATTCTTGGCACAACTGTGTGCATCTACCGAACCCATTACCGAAAAAAACCATGTTCACCAGGGGACAACTCGTACGACCGTCACAGACGGAGTACAAGCTCGTACGAGCTTCTGCAGTGTTTCAATTCCGCCACCTTAACCATGCCACGCACAGCAATAAAACAAAGTGCGCTGTGTTCCAGTGATCTACGGCAATGTATTGCATGCATTACCGGAAATTTTTGATATCCACCAGGAGCACCTCGTACGACCGTTCCAGACAGGGTACAGACTCGCATCAGGAAAAAACGACCTGTCTCGGGAGTGCACCCGAGGCTCGAGAGCAGTTCGAGCACGGCGTGACAAGTCCCCCTCTCTCGAGGCACGCGAGCTTGGCAGGGCGCCTCGCGGGCGCTCGGGAGACACAGCCGGCAGCTCGGTGAGCACTCCCGAGTAGCTTCGAGTTTCGTCTCGAGAGTGCTCGAGAGGCTTCTTGAGCATGATATGCACTCCCGATACTATTCACATCCCGGATCTATTTCTGTTCGCTGCTAGATATGCGTTTGAAACAAAATATATTGAAGTAGGTATACTAATACAGTCACTGTCCTGCTCTCTGTATCTACAATACATGGTTCGACCCACCACACGACGTGGCAACAACCGAGAATCGCGACGTCGTGAAGGCGCACCGAGCCAAGCACCCACTCGTCCAGCGGACGTGCGGCAGCGAGCGCGTCGAGCTCCACGAGGGCAGATGGAGAGAAGCGTGGGACGCTCGACGGGTGGTCAGTGATAGAAGTGGTGGAGGGGTTGACAAGCGGGGTCTTGCTTCCGCTGCGCTCGCGGAGGAGGAGAACGGTGTCCTGGTAGAGAACTGGGGCGTGGGGCCGAGCGCGGAGAGCCCGATGGAGTTTGCATGGTCCGCAAGCCGGTGGTCAGAACACAGTTACCATCAAAGTGCATGGCGGAACTCACAATACAACAGGTGGAATGGGGCGCAGGGCAAACCATGAGCATCGGCTTCGAAACAGGGGGCTCCAGAAGAGCCAGGTGGAGAAGCGGGGGAGGAAGAGCTTGACGGTCTTGCAACGCACATGAAATTCGTCAGCTCCACGCATGGTCACAATAGCCACGACGTACCACTGTCCATTCCCCACCCACTTGACTTTGAGGGCAGGGAACACATTTGAGGTAAGCCGCGGGAACAGTGGTACACCGTGATGGCGTACGACTGCGGGACAGTTGCCAAGCAGTGGCCGCAGGCGTGGGCGGATAGTGGTCGTCAGATAATGTATGTATAGCACAATATGTCGGATGGCTCACTCACAAAGAATCACAGGACGCGACGGTGCGAGCAAACGAGGTTGAGATGGGCGAAGAAGAAAGAGATGAAGTCCACGCCAGCTGGCAGAGCGCAAGAGGCGCGCTGGGCGACTGGTCAGTGCGTGGGAAGCAGCTACCATATCCACACGAGAGTATCGCGCTGCGATATGCGCGCATCCAAGTCACTGACAGTGCTGAGCGAGTGCGTTATCTCGCCCTCGCTCAGGCCTGCCTCCTTTTTTTCGACCCTTCCGCACATCCTTCATTCCCGCCTCGTTGAATGCTTCCAGCGCGCCCACAGAGACCACCGAGAGGTTGCGCGAAACCATCGCTTCGCCTACCGCCCGCCGGAACTCGAACATAAGGCGGATGAAGGCCTGGAGCGCGTTGGAGTTTGGCCCACCCCACACGTGCGGAGAACTGTGGTGAACGCGTGCAAAAATCCGGCGGCCACGTCGCCGCTCTCCCCATCCTCGGTCTCGCGCAGCCCGCGGAGGCCAGTTCGGAAAAGCAGCCGGCGACCACCTGGAGCAGGAAGACTGGGACTGGAGGGCGCAGAGACAAGATGATGTGCGTACCTTGCGTTTTTATACTCGCGTGGGCATCCTCAAGCTCCTCCTCACCCGTTCAACCCCGCATCAAGCACAGGCGGCAGGCATACGCAGTCATGACGCGCTGGAGCGCGACTTCGACTGGCGCATTGTCGCTAGTGTCCAGAACATCCACGATATTTCGGCCCAACCCTCCCGCAGACATCAACTTGATGCAGGTGTCCTCATCCTCATCCTCCCCCGCCCCACAGCGGCTCTGGGCCGCATCTGCGGCCACGGCGGCGATGTGGAAGACACAGGTATGTAACTATGCGCGCGACATTGCCGTCTGTGACGTCGTCTGCGCGGGTGAGGAAGACCTGGGCTGTGAGGAGCTCCGCGGAGCGCGTTTCGAGCAACGCGGCGTTCTGCCAGTGCTCCTCGCGCATGGTGGCAAGCTCTCGCGGGAGTTTGCTCCTGTACGCCTCAACCCAGGAAGCGGTGGCGTATGTGTCTTCTGTTAGTATTGTGTAGGTAGTAGTACAACCACTGTGCACACTGTAAATAAAGATTTTTACCGAACTCCTGGGGTATCCCGTGCGCCGAAGTCATCTCGACTGTCCTCTCGTGGCGTCACTCAGGCACGCGAGAGCTCGGTAGGAGCCAGCTGCGGCTCTCAAGGTGTCGTGAGCAGCCACTGCAACTCTAGAGAGCTCGCGAGCTCACCGTGGTGCTCGCCGCTGCTCGGGCGACCTCGGTATCATCAGTCATTACGCTCGAGCGCTCGAGCGCTCTCCCGGCCATCACTGGCAACGAGCGTGCGATCCCGAGTCCGGGCCGGGGCTCTCGCGCGGAGCGCTTTTTCCTGATGCGTACGAGTCTGCGCACTGTTTTGACAATACCTCCTTAACTACACCAGGTACAGCAATGAAATTGAGTTCGCTATTCTCAGCTTATCCGTGCGCATCTACCGAAAGCATCAACAAAAAAAACGAGGTTCACCAGGGAACAACTCGTACGACCGTCTCACACAGGGTACAGGCTCGTACGAGCCTGCACACTGTTTCGACTCTCCTGCCTTAACTACAGTGTGCAAAGCGACGAAACAAAGTGAACCGTGTTCCGGTAACCTTTGGCAATGCACGCCATGCATTGCCGAGATTTCCGGGTGTCCGCTCTCCCGGAGGTACTCGTACGACCGTCTGAGACAGGGTACAGGCTCGTACGAGCCTGAGCACTGTTCCGACCCTCCCTCTGTAACCACGATATGCACGGCAATGGAATTTGATGCGTTACGTTCAGTACACTCGCGCGCATATGCCGAATCCGTTACCGCAATATTCCGGGTGCACACCGGCGGTGCCTCGTACGACCGTGACAGACGGCTACAGGCTCGTACGAGCCTGGGCAGTGTTTTTGTTACCCCAGGCCAACCATGGCACGCATCGCAACGAAATTGAGTGCGCTGCGTTCGGTACAGTAACGCGCATCTGCCGAATCCATTACCGCAATATTCCGGGTGCACACCGGAGGTGCCTCGTACGACCGTGACAGACGGCTACAGGCTCGTACGAGTCTGGGCAGTGTTTTCAATGCCCCGGGCCAACCACAGCACGCACGGGGATAAAAACCAGTGTTCCGAGCTCGTATGACCCAGGGGAACGTAGCGAACGCATTACCGAAACGTACGGTGCAGTAGGGAACAATGTACGCAGTGGGACGTGCCACTACCGGAGCCGGCGTCCCCTGCTGTATCAGCCCGGTATTGGCTTCCCTGGGGCTGCGGGATGTTCTTGCGCGTATGTAGCACACTAGAGGACATCAAAGCACGCAAACGACAGCCAGAATGATACATTTGGCATTGTATATTACTTCTCCACCACCGCTCGTACGACCGTTACCGACAGCTACACTACCGGAGCTCGTACGACCGTTACCGACGGGCTACACGACCGGAGCTCGTACGAGCTCGTATGGCCGTTACCGACGGCAACATGACGGGGTCGTACCGCCGTTACCGACGGCTACAGAGGGGGAAGGGGGTCACTGGTGACCCCCTCTCACGGCGAATGTCTAGCCCGCGTCGAGCTAGCTGCTATCTCGCTTGCACTACACATGTCAACGATCAGCGCGTTTCTTCCGACCCTCCCATGCGGCCCAACACCTGGCTCACGGGCTTTGAAGCGCTCTCAGCCCGCCTAGCCCCCTGCGAGCCAACGATCAAGTCCCGCTGCATCGCGATTCTTGTCGCCGACGGCTTTGACCGCGCGCAAGTCAACGGCGTCCGCACCACACCGCTCAAGGCCGGAATAGCGAAGCGTGGGCGATGGCGAGAGCAAGGGCCATCCCGCGGACCACCACCATCGCGAGTGAATCACCCGCCTCCGCCTCTTCCTCCTCCTATTCGACGCGCTCGTAGTCACGCGCGGCACGGCGAACGCGCGGCGCACGCCGCACGGGGCACGGGCGAGGGCAGTGAGCAGGTTGCGAATACGAAAGTTAAGTCAAGATATATACATCCTTGGGAAGACGTACTACAGTCGGTGTTAGCGACGACGAAGAGTCTGTGGTCTGGCAAAATTTGCTTATGATGATTTCTTGCTAATTGTCGTGGTTCGATGCGGCGGCGCCGCAGTGGCGTCCCGCTTTGGCCTCCGTTCGGTCGCCTACTGGACTTCCCCTGCGACCACCATCATCCCCTCAGCGCGATGTGCCACTCACGCTCGCGGGTGATCCATCAAGACATGGTGAGTTCCTCCCTTTGCTCTCAGCATCTCGTTCACAGTGCCCACATTTCTATCGACATTGATGTGGCTTTTAACAACTTCTCGCAGACCATCATTGTCTCGTCGCCCTCATGGCCGCCACTCTGCGCCCGGTACGTTCAACTTCCCACCTCCACAAAGCCAACATGACCACCCACTCCCTGCGTTTCCGCCTCCTCGTACCCACCACAAGTCACGATGTTTTTTCCTCAACCGCGCGAGCTTGGTGTGCCTCCAGAACGCAATCAAGCTTGAAGTCATGGTGCTTAAGCGCTTATGGCCACGGCCACCCTCCGCGCGCGGTGTGAAATTCCTCTTTTGCCTCTTCTCCTCCCCTTCACGCTGATTCCTCAGCCTCGCCGGCAGTGTAAACGTTGCTCCGTGTGCTCTTACATCAGTCCCGAGTGACTCCACTTGTAATCGGGGATGTAAGGAAATGTGGTGGAGGTGTTGCGGCAGCCACTCAGTGGGAGTGCGGTGTACAGGTACGTCTTCAGAACTTCCATACAGGCTGGCAGGTGAGCAGGATGTCAGGACACCGCACGGTTGAGCCCGCGCCTCGTGGGCTTCTGCTGCTAGACCTGCGGGCGACCACTTCCGGCAGGTGTTGCTGAATGCGCGCGAAACGTCCACCCCGAGCACCAGCCCGTTTTGTAGCAGCAGCGGCTCTCCAGGTTGCGTTCCTTTCCCTTTTCCACCGAGATCAGTTCCGCACTGACCGCTCGTCCATAGCTGCCTTGACCAACTTGCAGTACTCACACATCGCTTGAGCGACCTCCCCACGCAAGCAGGGCGGTCTCGGTCCAAACCTCAGGCTCCTGCTCGTCGAACACCGCGACATGTCCATCTCGCCTGATTACGTCGTGCTCGTTGAGGACGAGGGCATCGCCCTCTGTGGGCTCTTCATCATCGACCCATAGGGGATCCTCAGGTGCGTTCGGCGGGGTTGGACAACTGAACCACCGCAATCGACAACGTCCCCGTCGGCCACTCGGTCGAGGAGACGATCCGGTTCGTAAACGTGTCCCAGTTCACCCAGGTGAGTTTCGCTTCCTCCACGTTCTCCGTGGCCACTCCCGCTGACTACTCCCTCCTCGCTTTCCCCTTCCCCGTTCACCACGCTTCCGAACGACGAGCATGTTGAGGAGTTCCCCACAAACTGGAGTGAGGAGGAAAGACGATGAAAACACGGCCATCCATGCTCACCGTCACGACCATCTCCCCGCGCCCCTCCACTGCGCCCCTCGCCGCGCTCGACCGGCCTTTCCGTGCTCTCCACACTGACTGCTCTATCACTGGGCGAGCACTATATATATTCGCATTTTCTACAGGCCGTTACTGACCACTCTCATGGCAGGGACGACCCTATGCATCACAGGAGTACTATGTCGATGTGCTCACTGCTGGTTGAGAGGCCTCAAGGACGCGCCCACATCGCTGACTGTGTAAGTCGTTTATTCTGCTCTTATGTCCATTGTATAGGATACCTGCTGTTTCGTATCTACCCAAATGGATTACTATTGCACAATTGGATTGTACTCTCTGCGTAATATGTGATCCCCAGTGTGCGATGGAAGACCATAATGTTCTGCATGATGCTGTCATCCCCTCCGCTAAATCTGACGTTTTATCATGTAGCGCTATCATCTCATGCGCCGCAGATGACCGGTATATGGTCGCGCGCGCACTCAGAAATGATAGCCCTGTCCGCGAGAATCGATCATCATTTGATAGCGGAAGAAGCAGACGATAATACACTACAAGTTACTGCATTACTTGGATGCTCAGCTACCGTCTATTGTCTTCGCTATCACTAACTATCGTACGCTACGAATGCCCCCGTGCACTATCAGACGCTACCGTTTCCGCGCCTACTTTGCTGATGTCCCGTACTCACCGACGTGGAACGTCGCGTGTGCACGTGATCCGCGTGACTGTCCCAGGATTTGGAGGCGTCCCCCGTTGGTCCCCCGAGTCGACTGCGCACACTCGTCCGCCCGTCGACTATCTCTACTTTCTTCACGCCGCCCGTCCCTCGACCCAGCTCCGCCAAGCATGGCCACCGTGATTGATGTTTCGAGCAGTCTGGGAGAGTATATGTTGAAAGGCTGGGTGCGTTCTTACCATGCTTTCAGGCTTAGCAGGTTGTCTTGAACGTTTCTTTCGTGCGCATGGGTGGCAGGTCTTGACAGACAAAATATGCTCGCAATGCTCGCGGGTTCCTCTGATGAGATCCCCCGCCACGTCTGCCACGCAGATCCACTTCTGTGTTAACTGCGACGCTGCGCCTGAATCCTCTGGTAGCACTTCGGTAGTTCCTCCGGCAGCTCGGAACCCTCCGCCGACCTCCACTCAGCGCGGCAAAGTCCCAGTACCCACCTATTCTCCGTCAAGCAAGTCATACAGTAGCGCAGTTTCACGCGCATCGACCCCTCCCACGGAAGTATCCAACGCGCCAAGCTCTCCCCCTCTCATGCCTGTCATGGACACAGCAGAACTCCTCCGTCGCCGTCGGCAGTCAGATCTTGCGTCTGCCGAGATCGGGAAGCGCATGCTCAAGGGCTGGGCCATGCTCGCCGACGAGTGCCCCAACTCAGACTGCTACGGCATCCCTCTAGTACGACCACCGAAATCCGGCGCATCTCTCGATCCGAGGAAGGCGAGTCTTCTGAGGCACATACGAACCCCGAGTATATTTAACGAGACAGGAATGCGTGATCTGCGCCGCTGTTTACGTCGACGAAAAGGATGCCTTCGGACGGGGTCACCTAGTCCCAATGCCACCACCCCCTTCTTCGGCAGAAACGTTCCAGGCACTCAGGCTTGCCAGCGAAGCTCGCCAGACTGCCGCTCCCGCGCATACCACACGACCAATGGCAAAAGAAGGCTTTGGGGCAGCCCCCCAACCGGTACGCTACTGTATATGTGATACACCCGCAATGCTGATGACCCCGTTCGCAGCAATTATCCGCAGGTGGCCGAGTCCCACATATGGGCACGGTGAGTTTTAAAATGAACCACCTGACCAAGTGTTACTCAACGTCTCGCAGCAGCCGATATCTAAATCAGCCACCGCTTCGGCCCTCGAGGCGACCGCGCTATCTCTCGAACGGACGCTACTTGTCCTCTCGGAGCGCATGAATGTCTGCTCAAGCGCGCTATTAATCGACCCCATATCCATCGGCCAGACAGCGGAGGCAATCACCAAGACCTCACAAGCATTGACTCAGGTCAAGCAACTGCTTTGGAGCGAGACTCAAGCGCTCCAAGATTGAGAGCTCTGCGCCCGTATGGCTCTCCCATGACCGGCTCGCGAGCCGCCGTTGAGCAGGTGAGTCCTTTCCGTGGGGTGCATGGCCTCTGTCGCACGTCTAGAACGACGCGTGTCCCGATTGCGCAGCGATGACGGACCTCGTTTCAATAGCCGGGGACGGATCAGGAGTGATGGGCGTTGGCGCGGCCACAGACACATAGAAGAGATGCGGGGACGAGTGTACGAGCCATCGGCGTAGACGAATCAAAGGCCTGCGCGCGGCCGCGTTGTGGTTCCCTCCACGAGGCAGCGTGCGAACGATCCGGTCTCGAGCAGCTGACATCAACTGGCGCGGTCTCGCTCACTATCTCCCTGAACGATATCTAGATCTCGAGCCCGGGCAACGCGTATTACGCCATGCACGCGGGCGCTGTGCAAGCCCACCTTCCGCCGCGGTTCGGGAATGCGCGGTATCCTCATGTTCTCCATGTTGCGGCCTATAAGGTCCTCCTCCCGGCCTTGCGGGGCTCGGATCCCCATCTGCCCCTGTCTGTGCACCTCGTCATCTTCGTTGCTTCCGCCGTCGTTTGTCGACAGCGTTGAATGCCGGCATTTTTCTGAATTTCACCCCACTTGCCCTTGAGACCTCACTTCGCTTAGCTTCTCCCAATGCCTCGTCTCTTCCCCAGTCTTGGTCGCTCCTCGAAGGAGCATGCTAGTGCGTACGCTGGGTATGACACCTACGATGCTCCCCATGGCTATTACGACGACCATGGGTACGATGAGCAGGCACCACCCAGCTCCGCCTGGCGCCGAGTTTTTGCTAAAAAGCCATCGAAGAAGGTATGTCGTCGCTGTCTTGCGAGTAGCTATCGCTGACGTATTCCAGAAGTACATTAGACCAGAACAGGTTTGTTTTTCGTGCTCCAGACAGTACGTTTGACTTAAATGCTCTTCCGCATCAGGTGTGTTCCGTATGCAACTCCCCAAGAATACCGTGCCACCATCGAGCATTGGCCAGAAGAGCCGAACTATCCGGCAGATTCCCCGACGACGAGGATTCGTCATACGAACATCTTCTTCAACATGGTTCCCGCCCTCGCCCTCCAGAGAGCCCACCCCTAAGTTGAGCGCGAGAGCACCCTCGATCGGATTGGGCAAGCCTTTGGTGGCCCCGACCCTTACTCCCACTCCATCCTGACACCGTTCTTCTGGGTCGCTGGTGCGCCTTTCTATGCTCTCTCAGCCTCCTCCCAGCGGTCCCCCACACGTCGCTGTGATGTCGAATATGCGCCAAGTGGCCAACCCCGTCCACCCACGAGACGGTCGAGGACACCGACCGGACATGTCCACCCGTCAGCGTCCTACCCTCCCCGAGGCGACCGGATGGCCCACCCTCGGCGACGAGAACGGGAGCATAGCGAGCCACCCCGGATAAGCGTGCGTCTTAACTCTTCTCGCATTCATATAGACAATGAGGTACTATGCCGCAGCCGGCGCGCGATCATCCTGCGTACTGGGACAAGCCGCTCGACCCGCGCGAAGAACCCCCGGTTGTCGTGGTCGTTGAGCAGGGTAAGAACGGGAAGAGGGACAAGTACTATATCATTCCCGGAGGAGCGCCGGTCATATTCGAAGACGCGGCCGGTAATGAGCTCACTCGGTGCGTGGGTCGGGTTCCTGTGTTCCACATCGCGATGGGGGCTCATACAATTTCCGAGAATAGGGTCGGAGACTTCAGCGGCCGTTACCGACCCCCGACACGTCCACGCCCTGTGATTGTCCAAGACCAGTTCGGTCGTGAGATATGCCGGTGCGTTCTTTGAGTTAACCTCCGTGCGCTCTGTAGTTGATCTTCGCGCTTCCTGCAGGGCCGGTTTCAACAACGACGACCGCGTGTCAGTCGGCAGCCGTTCAGTGGACGATTACTCCGAAAGTGGACGATCTTACCAGCGTGGTCGTCCCGCGGAGCGTACTCCTGTAATACCCGGAACGAGGTTCGTCTCTCCACGCTTCCTGCGCGCCGCGATCTCATGTTTCATTTACATAGGGAGAACCGCTCAGCTCCTCATCTCTCCCGTCATGACGCAGCACAACATGGGTCGCGTCGACAAGGCTCGCACCAAGAGTCGCGCCATGGATCGCCTCGGCAGCCCGAGTCATCTCGGACACAAGCGACTCCTACCCCCGGCTCATACGATAGAGATCCACATTACCAGTACGTTTGTCTCGCAGCCAGCTCGGATTTGAATAGCAGCTGACCGTGACTTCAGACCCTCTGGCAGAAGACGCGCGTACACCACGCGCGAAGATATGGCATATGTGGACCCTAGAAGCGCAGATCCAAGGGGACCGCGCAGCGACAGGAGCGGAGGGTACGTTGGCTATCTTAGTGCATTGATGGTTCACGATCGCTCATCTCTGCATAGCTCCAAACATAGCTCGAACGACACACTAGTGCGCGCGACTAGCCCCCGGCACGATGATCGTCACGGTCGCTCAAGGCGAGATTACGTCCCGACTGAGCGAGACTACACCTATCGCCGTGACAATCGTCGAGAGTGAGCATGCTTCTGAAATTCTATGAACAATCTTCCTTCACGCACGCGGACTAACAGGGGTAGTCCACGTTCCGGGTCCTTCAGAGACTCTTCCGATTCCGAGCGCACCACGAGTACCTTGACTGGCACGAGTAACACATCAGACACTTCTCTCTCTATCATTTTAGACACTTCTTTCTCCGTCATTTCCGGGTAGAACGTGTCGTTGAGCAGACATTATGCACTACATGCTATATATGCCCCTATGCCAACCTATGCCCACCCTATGCATCATCGCTTCCCGCCTCTCCTACGCGCACCTTTACCTCTACTACTTCCGCTCCTCCTTTCTGCTGCAACGATGTCGTTTCTACCCAACCGCAGGATCCCGTCCTTGAACGATCCGACGCCCATCTTCATGCCTCGTTCCCTCTTATGACTCGGCTTCGAGCTCGAGGGATCATAAAGAGCCTTCAGCGAAGGGTGATAATTCCCCAGTTGCTTCGCCTGCGGATGTTTCAGCCCAAATCCCGTCGACGCACACGTTCCATGACGAACGCACCTCCTCCAGCTCCTTCTCTCGCCTCTGCTGCTGCTTTTCCAAGAGCCCGTCGCGCACGTGTTTCGCCGCGCGGTTCCGCTCCTTCTGCCTCACCGCCGCCTCCCCCTTGCCGAGCTTCGCGCCTCCCGCGGCCTCGAGGATGCGCCCCGCGAGGGCCTTTTTGCGCTGTGCAGGCGTCAGGTCGAGGTCGTGCTTGAGCGAGCCGGAGAGAAGTTGCGTGTGCACCAGCCGGTGGAGAAGCGCGTCGTTCTGCGCGTTCGTCCTAGGGGTCCGGGGTCCGGTTAGCGTTCCCGTGAAGCGCGAAGCACACGAGGACGGGGCAGATCTCGCGGGAGCGCGGGGTGGGTGGGGTGAGAGAACAGGACGCGGAAGTTTTGGCGCAGCGGAGGGCTGCCCCCCCCAGAACCGAGAGGGAGACGGCACTCACAGATCGTCCTCATCATCCGCAGAGCGCACTTTCTGCTTCTGGGAGGGTTTCGCCGCGTCCTCGGTTAGCTTGGTGACTTTCGAGGACTGTGACAGGGCGCGGTGAGTCGCTTGCGGGACGATCAACCGGCAATGGGTTGGCACACCATGAAGCCCGTTTTCGACGCTCTGGTGACAGCGGAGGATCTGCCCGCCTCCGAAAATACAACGACGTCGGGCTGGGGGGCACACGACTCGTATGTGAAGTCGTCATCTGTTGACCGTCGGCATCGAACGATGAACCGAGACATGCGGACAGACCGCGTACCGTCATCCTCTGGCTCGTCGGTCACGCCTTCGCTATCCTCGTCTTCTCCCTCCGCCTCGCTCGAGGTAGAGCGTTGAGTGATCCCTGCCCACTCTTCTTCTTCAGAAGCCTCTTCCACACGCTTCTTCTTGCTGATCGCCCTATCGAGGGTGGAGTGGGGTCCTTTTTTGCGCTTCCCAACGACGGTGGTAGTCTCAAATGACTGCAGGAACTGTTGTCCATGAGCCTCTAGGACCTTGAGCAAATCTTGGTCCGGCATTTCCGACACGTCATTTGCTACTGGGATTCAAAATTACCGCAAAGCGAGAATTCGACGAGGGAGATCTGGAGCAGAGTGCTGTGAGTGAACGATTGAGGGTTGGTTCAGACCTCCGACCCTTTGGACTTCGGCGGCCCGGAAACCCACGTTAGGGTTAAGAGTCCAGTGACATTAGCCGATGCGGCCAGTCCTTCCCTCTGATTCTACTTGTCGATTGCCCTGTTTACACTCAGCATTCTCCATGTCGCAAAGCAGGAAGCGAAGAGCAACCCCAAATACCCCTTGAGCGGCCTAAAGCTCCCGAGACACCCCTTGAAAAGCCACTTGTCGACATCTCAGAGTCGGAACAGTGGCGAATCATCAAAGAGTCAGGCATCCTCAAGCAGATTCCGACTGCCCAGACGGCACACCCAGAGCAACAGAGGGGAGTGACGAGGAGGGGAAGTTGTCACCATGTGCAGAAGAGCTCTTCAATGCAACCATGCTCATCATCCCGATGTCGTTCATGTTGTTGCTCATGGACATGTAGGCCCTCCCCTGGCTGTTCTCGGCAGTTATTGAGGCTTTGTGTTTCTCCCGTAGACTAGTGCATCATCAATATGGAAGACGGCCGGACTATTGGCAAATATTCACCCAAAGGCTGGTACCAGGGATACCGAGTACGTCGCCTGTGTCCAGTTACTCATGCCAGTATTCATGTCGAGGTCGCAGTCCTTTCAATATTCATTTTCTACAGTGAGTCACCTGTATTCCTACCAGTGCCTTTGGAGCGCTGACAGCATACAAAGCCAACCGTTACAAGTCCGTGAAATGGATGCAGGCTGCGTTCTTCGTGTCGCGTGTGTTTCTGGCAGTCGCCTTGTTTGGCTGATCAATCGAGGGAATTGCTCGTAGTCATGCAGCAGGTGTGTACGCTTATCATACACCATGAACATCTCTGAAACGTAGACGAAATCTTGTCGCAGAGTCCGCCGACGGCTACGGCTTGGATCTACGGGGTATTACAGCTTGATCTGTTACCGTCAGTGGTGAGTTTGGGAGGCGTGGTAGCGTATAGCTACTGGAAAGCTTGAAGATGATGCCTTGAATCGCATGAGTTAATCCCACACGGACATCGGGCACGGGAATATATTAGCAGGTCGTTGTGATTTCGACATAATTTATGTACACAGAGAGTCAAAGCTCGGGAATGTGTGCTTGACAATACGCCGCAGTACGTGTTGTGTTCTTCGACACGAGCAGCACCTTTTACAAGCACGGGGATTCGGTAGAGACGAAGTTACCCCGGACGCTGAGAAGTCTACAGACATCCAGATCGTTGTATGCTCAATCATACGCCACTAAGCGGGTTGGGGCTTTGACCCGTAGGGCACCTTGTATGAGCAACGGTTTGCATCACACGAGCGAGTTCAAGGAAATCCACTGGTGATACAACCGTCAGCGAGAGCAGTGATAGGGTTACAGCAAAGATATAATATCAATGTCCTTCGGATTCGTCCAGTTCCTTTGCAAGCGACTCGACCTTAGTCTGTAAAACCGACAGTCAACATTCGTTGGATCAATTGTGACTCATACAAGCGTACCCGATAGTTCTTGCTCCGACCTTCCAGATGCACTCGGAGGGCTCCCAGCTGCCAACGAAGCCGCCTTCCAACTTTCGTTCGAATGTATCTTGATGTCATCCAACCGTTCAACGAACGCTCTGTATACGCGATCATCCCTGGCAAAGTAGTATGTCTGCCCAAATAGATGAATAAAGCTCTTCTCTTGACATGAGCGCATAACTCACGGGCATTGGGTCGTCTTGTACGTATTGCAATATATTGGACCACGCGGCCATCATTACAAGGTCCGCGGTAGCGTTGGCAATGCTGTACAAAATCAGCTTAGAGAGTACGTTGGCTTTCAGAAGAGAAATACCGACTAGTCTTCAAGAGTGGCGATGAAATGAGCCTTGCCAAGATTGTTCGTCGCGAAGCTTCGTACGGCAGCTTCAGCGGCATGGACAGCTTTCCCGTCCACGCCTTGCCTGAGTGCAGCTGCGATGTCGCCAGTTTGGTAGCGTTAACCACGAGTCGCCCTCGCTCATGGATGAGGGTCTGCAAAAACGAGGCGATGAGGTCTTTCTGGGATTTCTGCAGCCCGTAATCGATAGCTATCTTCAAATTTACTCCTGTAAATAGTGTGACCGCATATTCAGAAACTGTATCTGAGAGTGGCCACGTACTCAGCATCTTCAACATCTTCTTGGTTTCCGGTTTCTCAAAGTCCTCGTCATTGAGGTTGTTAATATACCGGGAAAATGCCCAAGTAGCACGATGGCAATGTCGGTGGCCTCTATCCGCATGGCATGAATAAGAGGAGTGACATCGCCTGATTTCTTAACTAGACTCTAAACTATATCCGTTAGTGGAACAATTATAGGACGTAAGTCAATGACGAACCTCGAAAGACCTGTCGCGGACATCCATAAGGAACATGATGTCCTTCCTTTCTATGGCGCGCATAATCTCAAAGGGCTACGCACGAACGTATGAAAAGGATATATCGCTTCAGGAAACTTCGCTTACTTCACCTCAGGAGGTTTCCAAGGAGAACTACCGGTTCGCCTTGAGGTTTCGCGTAGCATTTTCGCAGCTTGAATGGCAGAAGGTAGTATGTCCAGTACAGACTTGCGTTTCACATTTGGGCTGGTCTTGGGAGAACTTGAGGTCGACGCAGCGTCCTGTTCCTGCTCATCTTCTGAAGGCTTGGCGAGAGCGATCTCCAGAGCCTTCCGCTGTCGTTTCAGCTCTGCTTCAAGAGCTCTCGGAGCTTCTATGTCTGCCTCACGCCGCAAAAATGCTTGAGATGTGTTTGCTTAAGATGTGTTGGGCCCTCTCGCTGATACGTACAGGAGGAACAGTACTCACCCGTTGAAGGCAGACGCGCTGGAAGGCAAGGATTCGGAGGGGACCTGTCTCGAGGAGGGCTCGCGCGTGTTAAAGGAGTAGCAAATTCGTCCAGGGATTGTCTCCGTGCCAGGTCGACGACCACCTGAACATGGTTGAACATTGGAGGTGGAGGACAGGGTGTGAAACGGGGAGAAGGTCTAGTAGGTCCACAACAGCCTAGAGAGCCGCTTTTGTCTGGCGTGCGGCACAGGTGATGATCTGGACCAAGCTGCGGAGGCATTCACAATGACTAGGGATGGAGAGGACAGCGTGGACAGTGATATCTCGATGCAGCCTGAGGACGTGGAGAGGAAACTCGGCCGTCAGTTGACAGTGCCTCAGTGGCTGCAACCAGCACTGCGGCGGCCCGGCGCGAGCACTCGATGCCACTTCACCGCCGGCGGCCCTCGGGGCTGCTCACTCTTCCTCCCTGCCGTTTACATGTTCCGGTCTGCTGCTCGTTTCTGTAGAACTCCCCCGTCGTCCCGGACATTCTTCACCAGCTCGACCCTCCGCGCTCAAGCCTCAAAGCCAGCTCCCGCTGCTGAAGATGCACCAATTCTTCATTTCGTGAGGAAGAAAGTACAAGAGCGGGACAAACTTCAGTCTGAGGTATACCTGCCGGTCTGAAATCAAGAAGGCTGATTGAAAGTCGTTGATGCAGCTTTCCGAAAATGCCTTGACCGACGAAGACGTGAAGCGAGTGAGGCGAATACGTGAGCTGGAACCTCTGAGCGAGGCGTTCGCTACATGGACGAGAGCCAAGGAGGTCCGTGCTCATTGCTCTTCTCGCGCGTGCGTACTTTAAGTACGTTTTCAACAGTAGTCGTTAGAGGAGACGACTCCTTTTCTCCATGATCCCGACACCACAATGAAGAGTATGGCTGAAGAAGAGTACGCCACGCTAACGAAGACTATGTCCAAGTTGGTAGAGGACACGTTCCCCGCTCTTCTTGTGCCAGCTTCCAAGACCTCCCATCTTTCCGCCATCCTCGAGATTCGCGCAGGCGTAGGAGGATCAGAGTCCGCACTTTTTGTTGAAGATTTGATCGGGATGTACACTGGCGCCACACACTCCATGGGCTGGAGCCTCACAGTGCTCAATGCGAATCCTCTTGACGCAGGGGGCATCAAGGACGCCATTGTAGAGGTCAAAGGCGAGGGCGCATACGACGCTCTGCGATGGGAAAGTGGCGTCCATCGGGTGCAGAGAGTACCGGCCACCGAGTCGAACGGGCGAGTTCATACAAGCACCGTCAGCATCATGGTAAGGCACACTCCGCCATTGTACTATTCGTCCCACTCACGCGGATTGCAAGACTCTGCCTTTGATCGAAGAATCCTCTTCGAAGAATCCTGATGACGAGCTCTTCAAAATGGACGATGTCCGGATCGAAGTTATGCGGGCTAGGGGGGCTGGTGGGCAGGTGAGCATCTGCTCCGAGTGTACCACACGTTTTTTGACGTTTCGCTCGTTCTCAGCATGTCAACAAAACGGAATCAGCCGTTCGCCTCACCCATGTACCCACGGGTATTACTGTGTCTATGCAAGACGAGCGGAGTCAACATCAAGTGAGCAGTTGCTTGTGTCAGTTGTCTACAGGATGCTCACAGTGCCGCAGAATCGCAGACGAGCTTTTCAAGTGCTCCGTGCGCGCCTCATGGACCGAAAGTTGAATGAAGACATGGTTCAGCGGCGAGAAATGCGCCGCAGTCTGGTTAGCAGTGCAGACCGAAGTGAGAAAATCAGGACATATAACTACGCCCAGGTAAGCTACATTCAGCTGTCTCGCCAGTGGTTTAACATAGTCGTAGGACCGAATCACAGATCATCGGATTGGTATGTCCATCAAGAACCTACCCTTGGTCATGGAGGGAGACGGTTTTCATGTCCTTTTAAGAGCTCTTCAACAACGCCACGATGAAGAACTGTTGGAGGACGTGTTGTCGGAACAGTAAACGTCCGCCGTTGTCGCGCTTGGTAAATTACAACCTACAGTATAATTCCCATATCTACCCGTCTTGATAATTTCACTCCCCACGCATCTGGCCCTTTCTAATGGCTTGTGTGATTTATGATAGCGTACTGGGATTCCGTGCGATTAAATGAGATCCTCATGTGTGCCGGGTATGTTGATTCAAACAAGCGCTTGTAATCTTATGACGGTGCCACAATGATTCGGAGCGCCGAGTCCTTGCTGCAACCACTTGAACGCGAAACCCCAACCATTCGCCAGTCCTCGAGATTTCTCGTATATAACGTTGGTAAGATCCAGACTCTGGATATATGATTACCGCAGCATTCATGTTATCCTTCACTTTTGCAGGTTCGTTGCTCATACCCGCTACCGTCTGGCGACTCAGCCTGTGTCTCATAGGCTACATAGCATGCTTGGTATTTGGAAAGACGCAGAAGCCGCTGCTTCATCTACTTCAAACTCAAGCAAGGGCTCGCCAAGGGCTCATGAAAATGAATATCCCAGCAAAAAACGGAACATCACGCCCTCTTCCGCTTCCCCCGAGTCACATGGATTACCACGCCCAGCGACCAGTCCGGAGGAGGTATACACAGAGGTGACGCAAGGAAATGGTAGGTTCGGATGATGAGTGGCTATTACTGATACCTCATTGTTCATAATAATCGTTTTGTAGCAATCGTCATCATCGAGAGCCTTGAAGGTATGCCAAGTAGGAGAGGCTTTGTCTGTGCAACTCTAACAATTTTTCGCAGAAAAGATGCGCATGTTCAGAACAGCACTCGGTCAGAGCATCGTCATTCGTCAAACAATAGCAAATACTGGGAGTCATCGTATCATTCTTTTCGTAGTCGAGTGAGTACCACTGCTGTTTGGTCAAACTTTTCTGCTGGTCAATCTCACGCAATCAATATCAGTGACGATAATTCCATCGATCAATACGCCGCAGCGCTAGAGAGCATGGACTTCACAGTCGGATCTTACACGCTCCCCATGCATACATCTGGTCAGAACCAGTGGCCCAATGTCATCTTCAACGACATAGTTGTCGTGCCTGCCAATGCAAGTGCCTTCTCCTACCCGGTCTCATAGCCATCCTCAGTTACGACCGAATTCTACAGATGTTGCTTCAGGCTCTCGAGGACGGCAACGTTAAGCTCTCTCAAGCTCATCTCATCGTAATCAGCGATGCACAGCGCGTAGTCCCGATGGTCAATCCCCACCCAGTTCTGCGCATAGTGTCAGAACATTACTACGCCAAGACGACAGATCGTCCTCGAATCCTGGCCACACTTACAAGCCCACCAGACCGCTGGCAACACATAGACTTGCAGCACCTTGAGCAATCTCTGGATGCACGGTCGTTCTTCCTCGTCACGAAATCCCTCGATTCTTGGTTCGGTCCAATGGAGCTCGTCACGGAGTATGATTCGCTTGGTCCCCTACCTAAGGACAGTCCACTATCCTCCGACCTGCGAAAGGCAGATCCAAACGGGGTCGTTCTCAAGGACCACCACTTCCAATGCGCCGGCCGCATTTTCTCACAACTCGGGAATCACGCCACCAAGCTCTACTGGCGAAGCGTCTACGATGAAGTCTCCCGTTCCCCCGATGATGAGGTGACGCTCACGAAGATGGACGTTCTAACGAACATGATGGGCGAGTCGTTGAACATCGACATAGCTTCCCCCGCGTTCAATACTACTCCAAAAATGGTGACGCTGTTGCAGATCCTACAGACATGTGCCCAATACGGAGACAACTTCCGCGGTGCGATCTTTGGTCAGTGTCTTGGTTTCAAAGGTAAACACGATGGCTAACTCGTCTTGCAGTCAATGATGCCCTTGTGGCGGACAAGTTGACGGAACAACTCAACTCAAACCCCGGGAGATTGTCTTTTATACACGCCTCCACCGTGCGTAAGGGTCAAGAGGTACGAAATACCTCTCTGCGCGATCCTATCCTAACGCCCAACAGAATGACGTTCTCGGAGCCTTCGATGCTGGAGATTACAACCTCCTCGTCCTCACAAGATCGTTCGCAGACACCGATTCCTTACAATGTTCCGTTGTCATCTGGTGCGCTCTCTTACATATATTTCTTCGCATCACCACTTAACAAGACCACACAGTTTCGATCTGTTTAGCGACCATCTATTATATGCATATGGACAAATTCACAGCAAAGGTCGCCATTCACATCTTATACATATGGTTGAAAAGGGCAACAACGAGCACAGAAACCTTCTCGCACGTCTTCTAAGCATCGACGGCGATCTCAAAACTTGGATCGCAAACGCGGCTCATGGTACAAGCAGGGTGCCTCCAAGAAGTACATGGATCAGCACAGATCCTTACAAGTCAGAGGATGAACAACACGCCAAGAATGAAATAGTGGATCCTACAACTGGCGCAAGAGTGGACAAAGCAGAAGCCGTCACCGCGATGTATCGATACATAGCAGAAGTTGATGGCGCCATGCTCCCCGGTGAGATCAACGTCTCACTAACCGTGGAAGAGGGGTCGGACAGCGAAGAAGGGCTCTATAGGTACAAACTCTCATTCCCACCCCAAACAACGCTACCAAGCTACATTGGTCCCTACTGTCTCACGAAGTGGGAAGCCCGCCGAGAAGTCTGCTATCAAGCCTGCAGTGAGCTCGCCAGCGTCGGTCTCCTGTCTCACCGCCACTTCCCTCACCCCCGCACCCCGATACTCACCTCCGAGCCGAACCCGACCTCGCTCACCCCTCTCACCCCGGTCCAGACCGCCAACACCTCGGCGCAGACGCACGGCTACCCCCGCGCGACGCCCACCTTCTGGCGCCACCCCCTCCCCTCCCCGTCCGACCTCTCCGCGGAGCCGACGACGCTCTACCCGACCGTGCTCGTCCCGGACTCCACCTCCACCGGCGCCGCGCACGCTCCCATCGCGCTCCTCACGCGCGCGCCGCTGCCCCCGCTCGCCGGCCTCGCGCTCTTCCCCGACGGCCACCGCACGGACGTGCACGCGGAGCGCGCCGCGCCGCTCGTCGTCTCGCCCGCGCAGCTGCGCGACCTGCACGGGTACACGCTGCGCGCGACGCGCTCGCTCACGAACAAGCCGTTCGACTGCGGCTTGGGAGGCCTGCTCGCGTACGTCGCGCCGCTCGCGGGGGAGTGGCGCGCGACGAGGGACGCGCGCTGGCCGCTGCCGCAGCTCGCCGCGCACGTCCCGTGGGACGCGGTGCGGCTCGCCGCGGACTTCTTCGCCGTCCCCGTCCTCGGGGGCGCTGGGGGCGCTGGGGTCGAGGGGCTGGACGAGATGCTGCAGGACGCGATTGTGATCGACCGGAAGGTCGAGCATACGCTGCGGCACTTTGTGGTGAAGGTGAGGCACGACTTGACGCCGTCGAGCAAGGCGGAGGACAGCCCGGTAAGTGTTTTCGAAGAATGTGGTATGTCGGGGCGTTTGATGAGACGGCATGCACAGCGGGAGGCAGAGTTCTCTAGCTTCTTGGAGTACTGCAAGGCGCGACGCAAGGACTTCCAGGGCCTCGAGTACGACAACCAGCCCATGATTGAAGTCAGCGCAGTACCCAGTGCCGCCAACCTGCTGCATCCCACCGGGAACGGCCCAACTACCCCAACGGCACACCCCTTGAAATGTACGACGCCGCCTCACGCCGCTTCGCTCGCGCTGACATCTCCGCAGACCTCATCCCCGAGTTCGCCTACAAGTTCACAATCCCCGCCAGGTACGCCCGCCCACCTCCTTGACTCCCTACCACCCCCTCACCCTCCCCCCAGCACCTACCGCACGCTCCTCCTCCTCCCCTCCCTCTCCGACAAGCTCGACGCGCTCCTGCTCACGAAGGAGCTCAACGCGCGCCTCCTCCACGGCGCCGCGCTCGAGCCCCTGCTGCTCGCCGCGCTCTCCGCGCGCGCGGCGTGGACGGACGCCAACTACGAGCGCCTCGAGTTCCTCGGCGACGCCTTCCTCAAGGCGCTCGCGTCCGCGCACGCGTTCGCCGCCGCGGCGCCGGGCACGGGCGTCGGCGCGCTCCACGCCGCGCGCAAGGACGTGGTGAGCAACCGCGCGCTGCGCGCGGGCGCGACCGCGGTCGGCCTCCCGAGCTTCGTGCGCCACAAGCGGTTCGTCGCGAAGATGTGGCACCCGCCCGTGCGCGGGGAGGGCGCCGCCGCCGCCGCCGCGGTGGAGCGGAAGTGCTGGATGCGGGCGCGGGGTTAGGGGCGCGCAGAAGGACGACGATGGGGACGTGAAGATGGAGGACGCGGAGGCCGGTCGGAGGGGAGAAGAAGGGCGGGAAGGACAAGGGGAAGCGGTCGAAGAAGCAGCGGCAGCTCGAGGAGCTCAACACGCTCTGGATGGGCGACAAGGTGCGCCCTCCGTCCTTTCGCTTGTGGAGCGCTTAACGGGCAGCGGCTCCCCCCAGATCGTCGCGGACGTCGTCGAGGCGATCCTCGCCGCCGCTTTCCTCTCCGCCGGCCACGAGGGCGGGCTGCAGGCCGCGCGCAGCCTGCGCGTGCCGCTGCCCAACGTCGCGCAGTGGGGAGACTTTGCACGCATCCTGGCGCAGAACGACGCGGGCGCGCGGGGCAAGAGGGGAGCAAGGGCGACGAGAGCATGCTTGGGGCGAAGGGGTCAGTAGAGCAGGCGCTCGGGGTGACGTTCGCAAGAACGGATTTGTTTGTGCAGGCTTTGGTGAGGGTTTTTTCCGAACAATCGGAGATATGGAGCTGATGATGAGGTTCAGACGCATGTGTCCATTGGACACGGGCAGGATTATGAAAAACTGGAGTTCATGGGCGATGCAGTGCTCGACTTTCGTGAGTACTTCCCTCAATGCGTTTGCATTGGTATTAAACTGTAGGAACCAGTTGTCTCGAGGTACATCTGGGAACGGCACCCATGGCTCTCCCCGGGAGGCTCTCTCTGCTCAAAGTCTGTCCTCTTTTCTTCTCCACGTCTTGCTCCACTTCCTGACCCCACCCATCAGGCCGCGATGGTGTCGAACCACGCGCTCGCCGCCTTCTGTGTGCACGCGAATCTGCACCACCACATCCGCTTCGAGTCACCTGACTTGCGCGACGCGATTGAAAAGTACGTGGGCGCGCTTGGCGCGCTCCGCAAGAAGGAGTACACGAGCGCGGAGAGCGAGCAGCGCCTGCCCGGGCAGTACTGGCTCGAGCTGCCCATGGAACCGCCCAAGGTGCGTCCTTCCCTCCCTCCTTCCTCTTTTTTTCCCTTTAGGAAGATGATGACGAACGCGCGGGGGCCAGGTGCTCTCGGACGTCGTCGAGGCGCTCGTCGGGGCGCTCTACGTGGGCGACAACTTCTTCGAGCCCAGCGTCGGTCGCTTCTTCGACGGCGCGTTCCGGCAGTTCGTCGAGGCGCACATCCGGCTCCAGACGCTCTCCGCGAACCCGAAGGCGACGATTCTCGAGCTCCTCCAGGCCGAGGGCTGCCAGGAGTGCGCGGTCGTGAAGCGGCCGTCGGTGAAGGCGAGCGGCCCGGTGCAGATGGAAGGTGCGTGGCCGGGTCCGCCGGAGATTGTGCGGCTGGCTGACGGAAAGGGGCGGGGACAGTGGTGATCCACGGCAAGGTGCTGGCGAGCGCGACGGACGCGTCGGCGGCGGTCGCGACGCGGCAGGCGTGCATGGCGGCGCTGGACACGCTCGCGACGGACCCGGAGCTGCTGGCGCGGACATGCGACTGCAAGGCGGTTCCGCCGGCAGGGGCGAAGGTGGGCGACGGAGACCGGGCGGCTTCGAAGATGAAGGAAGAGCCGAGTAGCGCCCGGATCATTTTCGCTGGCTGTGGCTTTCGAATGCAGAGACACAGGTCGGACGTCGAACGGGGGATGCTACAACGCAGAAGAGCTTGCCCATCTATATTCTAGAGGTATACGCGCATCTACAAATATGGTGTGTAGGTAGAGTAGTCTAAGCCGAGAAGGGCACGGGACCTCTATGACGACTTGGACCTACAAGAGATCATGAGACCTGGGCTCGCAAGAAGCACACGGCGACTGAATGGGACTCACATCTGGTAGTAAGCCGCGACGAAGGGGACGGCGAAGCCGGTGGCGAGGTAGACGAAGACCTTGGCACCGAACGCGGTCTTGTTGGAGTAGTTGAAGGGGACGGCCTGGACAAATGTTGGTCTCGTTTGTGACGTGTCGCGCGCTCGAGCCCGAGAACTACTGACCTGCTCGCTGTGCATAGAGCGCACGGGGGCGGCGCGGGGCGCGCGGAGGGCGACGTGGCGGAGGGGGCGGCGGAGCGGGCGAGGATGGACATGGTGTTACAGGCGAGGGTGGGCTGAGTCCGCCCCCGGTCGAGCAAGGGCTCAAGTACTCGAGCAGCCGATCGTTTCGGCCAGCATCGGACGCGGGCGAACAGCCAGTCCCGTTCCCCGTCCCGAGCCAATCCCCGACGCGCACGCCGCGGGCCAATCGCGACGCACGGCGAGGCGCCGGGGCGGTTTGCTCTCCTCCGCCACAGTCTCGATGACGTCGTCCACCGTGCTTTGGCCCGACTCGGTCTCGCCCACGCCCGGCATCTGCTACGGATGGGCGAGCCCTCTGCTCTGCGTGGCCGGCATCTTGCCTCTTGCCACTCGTGAGGTTCGAATACTCACCTGCTGTATGCGCCCTCGCTCATCTGGAACAGGAGGCGCAGAATGTCCTGCAGCAGGTCACAACCAGCGCCCAATGGCGCGCTGTTCGCTCCATGTTCTCCTCCGACCCTCTCGTGCTCGGACATTGTGACGCTACGGCCGACCGCGACGCCTCGCACCAAGATGCTTTGGCCGCATCGCTCTCTCTCGACCGTGGTCCTGTTGGCAAGTTGGCCTGTCCTTCACTGCATGCCAATGCCACACAGCATTGACCGGCCTGGACAGATGAACGCAATCTTGTGAAGTACGGCCGACATAAACGCCAGTCCATGAGGTTCTACGCGTTCGACTTCAACGAGCTCGACATCCTTCCATCCCAGGAGACGGATGACGGGGCTTCCTCCACCAATCTCCAACTGACGGCTACCTCAGCATGGACCCAACTCGCTTACACTCCCCTTCGACTCGCAAGAGCCACGTCTTCGATGGCGAAGTTTTGTCTCAGGCAAGCACTCGGTAAATCATCCTGAAAAGGCCATAACCATCTCGACGTATCATCCAGGTCAACCTGGCCCAATTTCTTGCAGCACTCGTAGAGCGCGAAGCAAAGACTGCGGAGATACCTCCTAGTATTCCCGGGACACCCGATCCCAACACTCACCGTGGCTCAATGCCACTCAAGGTGGGGAAACAGCTCATCGATCTGCCCCATTTCGCAGCGCTCAGGGATTTCTGAGCACTGCCTATCGATTTTCGAGGATGATCTCCACCACAGGTGAGTGGTGATATCGACTGCCTGTAATCCAGTATCTGAGCCGTGCCTAGTGGAACAATTTGATGTTCGGTACGAACAAGGCGTATACGTGTATGGCGAGTCGCCCAACGTCTATCACGACAAAGCGCGTACAGTCCAGTCCATATCGAAGTACATAAAGTACGCCTCGGTCTACATTTTACTCTGGTCAGTGGCAGTAACTTGTTTGATACTCTCAGGTTCCACAACTGCGTCTGGCTTGTATTGAACGACGCGATCATTGGCGTTGCGTTCGGGACTTTCCTCTGTGAGAACCAATACTTTCTCGCACGATGGCTCCAGTACGGGCTCCGTGTGAGCAACGGTTGTATCATATATTGGCTTTGACTCACAACATCCCTCAGATATACTTGGTTGACGGCATGGAAGACGCTCTGCTTTGGCTCAACAACTGGCCCGCAGGTCTCAAGCTCAATACTGAGTTGAGCCAGTTCTACTGCCACTCCCTGATCGGCTTTGTCTCTGCTTGGGGATGTAAGTCTTCTGTCTTTCGTAGGCTTTGCCGATTTCACGCAACCTTGTCCAGGGGTCCTATCAGCCATTGCGCCATACTTCCCGCCCTCATATGGCTCATCGGCGCTGCAGGCTGTCTCGGGATGACCACCATCGTCTCCCTACTGTCGGACGCGCTCAGCCTGCTCACCGCGCACCTCTACTTGTGCTACTTCATCTCCGCAACAGTCTTCAGTCAACAGCTGAGCCTCGCCGGCTCGTTATGGAACCTCTTCCGAGGCGAGTAGTTCCCACCCTCTGACCTTTTCCCCGCTCACCTAACCCACCCATGTACAGGCAAGCGATACAATGTCCTGCGGAACCGGATCGACAGCTGGGATTACGACCTCGATCAGCTACTGCTCGGCACCATCCTCTTCACCCTCGTCGCGTTCCTGTGCCCCACAGCTCACCTACTACGCCCTTTTGCAACGGTAAGCACAACAGTCTGAATATACCCCTGAATGCAAGTATAAATTCTATGAGGAATGCAGGCAAGGCTCACAGTGATTGTCGTCCACGCCGGCTTGGACACACTGACGGCGCTGCTCAATCACTTCCCTCTGTTCGCTTTAATGCTACGGGTAAAGGACCCGTTGCGCGTGCCAGGTACGAACTGTGTGTAAGGATATCCGCGCAGAGCCTAATTCACGTTGCAGGGGGAGTGTGCATACAGCGGTCCCAAGGGACCGCTCATCCTATCTGTGAGTAGAACCACCCACATCCGTCTGGCGGAGAGGCTCATCCATTCCCTTGCAGAGCCAGCCCGCGCCCTTGTCGTCCATCTTCAGGCATTACGGTAAGACTGTGTCTTACATTCTCTCCCTTTTGCTGACAACATTTTGCCGGTAGCACATCTCGCCGGGCGACTGGCGGGGCACTACCACCCTGTGCGGATGCTCCGGCACCTCGCGTCTGGCCGTCTACTTCACCCCATCCCGCGCTCGGATATCCGGTACAGCATGATCCCCTCCCCGAGCGAACACATCCCTCGCGGAACATAATTGTAACATAATATAAAAATCTGGATGGAGACAGCGCCACGCGTGACTGAGCAGAATGGGCGTATTTAGTCCGCCAACTGTGTGTCGATCAGAGGCAAAAAGTATCTCTGTATTCCTTTCGCGTATTCGTCTTCGTCCTGGCAAAGGCTGCGCGGTCCGTATCTCGGACTTTTTGGCCGACCGAATCGCGAGACAAGCGCAGGACGTCCTGGCCGACCGCCAGCTCGCGAATACCAAGGCTCGCCGTTCGTCATTTGTAAGAACGTACAAGACGAGAGGTTGTGGCACAGAGTTTTTATTGCGCTTCGTGTCGAGTGAGATGGTATAGTGGTACATTGACGCAAGAAAACGGCCCCGTTTAGATCGACGCCCTCTGCGAGACACGCTCCTACTCTTCCTCCACCGCGACCGACGCGTCGGTCTGCTCCGCGGTCGCGGTGATGTCCGCCTCGACAGCCGCCAGATGCGCACGCTCCCGTCGTCCGAGGACGACACGAGCCGGTCGCTCCCGGGCGCGAACGCGAGCCCCGTCACCTTGTCCTGGTGGCCGTTCATCGACGGCAGCGCGCGCCCGGTCGCCGTCGCCCACGCGAGCACGGCGTTGTCCCCCGCGCTGCTCGCGACGACGCGCCCGTCGGGCGAGAACTTGACGGCGTTCACGAGCGTGTCGTGCCGTCGAACGCGTGCACCTGGTGGCCGTCGAGCGAGTCGCAGATCTTCACCGTCGCGTCGTTGCTCGCGGAGAGGAGCTGGCGGCCGTGGACGGGCGCGAACGCGACCGCCC